CATATATCATCATTGTAAATGACTACAGAGAGTGAAGGGTAACCAGGGCTCAGGCAATCTGCCTCCAGATGGGCAAGGAGACATACACGATCACAATAATCAGATGGACGAGAAGAGGGAGGAGTGAATCTGAAAATTAATGTACAAGAAGGAAAAAATTGTTACTGTAATAAGCAGTAAATTAGTACTGTCTATTTTAGCACCTTTGGACAAACCTTGCAAAAGTGGTAATTATCTGCAGTTTGTACTCATGTGTGTTTCCTGGCTTCTTGCTTCCCCTGGTGGCATAGGAGCAAAACTCCTGTGACATGAGATTTCTTTGGGGATGCTTGGAAATTCATGCAGTGACATGGGTGGGAGGAAGAACTGCTGCCTCTCGCATGAGGGTGGTCAGGACTGAGGAGAATTTCAGCAACGCAGCATGGGGAATTGTAGCAATTTAGCAAGCTAAACTGAGCACAGAGTAAAAATTAGGACTTGAAATAGGCAGGCATTTATAACGTCACTGTGTTGGAAATCCCAGCCCTTTGTTTCTTTTGGGTAGGCACACAAGCCACAGTAAGAGAACAATACCCCATCCTTCCAGCTGCTGTCGAACCATGTATAGAGGGCTCTGCTTCAAAGAGATAACAATGGAAACAGGAGATAAATGATGGATAACAGAAAACACATCAACAAACTCCAGCTGACTCAAATTTTCCATAGAGCATTTTTTTCACACTGAAAAGTATATGGATAGACGGATTTGGAACACTGTTATTTTGAATTTTTATCAGATTGTCTTGGCCTCCCAAGAACTGAAGCAGAACTTCAAAACAAGTTAAAATGTTTCAGTTCGACATTTTTGATTTCTCTTACTTTTTTAATTCTGAAATATTTTGTTTAAAATTTCTTTTTCTGAGACATCAAGATAATTTCAGAAAACACAAGCCCCTGTTATCCCTGTCCTCCTAAAATGACCTGAAAAGCCTTTTTCAGACAGAAACTGATTTTTGTTTTGGCTTTGGTGAGAACACTTAAAAAGCCTTGGTTTCAGTTAAAAATAAATAATAAAAAAGGTAAAGTTAACTTTAAGTTAAACTATGAAACTGAAAATTCCATTGCTCATAGAGCTACAAATTAAGATTACCGTGCTTTAGTACCCCACAAATCAGCAGTAGCAGGCCATCAGTGTTGACTGCTTCGCAGGCATCACAGAAGAAATTAGCTTTCAAGAGAGCTTAGAAGCAGAGCAGAGCAGTGACTACCACGATTTTGGCATGAGAAAGCATGAAAGAACTGGATGGGCGTTTGGGCAGGATCATCAGGAAAGCAGAGAAAAGGCTGATTGTTTTCACTCCGGAGAAAGGGATTGCATCGAGCTGAACTGCCATGGACTTGCCGAATCACCCAGTGGGTAGGTACCCCAGAGTGTCCTTTTTTGCTCTGGCTCACTCATGCACAGATGAAATCTGTCGGAAAGAGCAGCAGGTCCATGGATGCTTCTCCTTGACTCGCCTCCCTTCACCTCCACCAAGAAGATGCCAGAGCTGCATCACACCCCTGAGAGCACAGGACACCCACTGTTAAAAATAATCAGCATCTACAACAGTCAAGTCAGACAGCACTGAGATAGGCGACCGCACACGTATTTTATCTTAGCATATGCTACTAGCATTTGGCAGGGGTTTCTGGGTACCACTGAACCTGGCTTTTTCAGCTCCTTCTTCCCATCCATCCTTTGGCATATTTTGTGCCTCGAAACAAAGCCCCAACAAATTCTGTTGTAAGAGGAAGGCAACATCATGGTCGGTATCCAGACACAAACGTGCACCTTCTTGTCAGGTGACAGTTGAGCACAGGGTAATGGGAAGTTACAGGAGATAAATAGATTATTGGGGCTTGTCTCTATACAGTGTCTCTGCTCCCTGTGTGTGCTGCCATTGATACTTGCCCTTCTAAGGAAGACAAGACTTTGAAAGGATTTGAAATGAATAAGTCCACAGATACTATTTAAGAAGATGAAATACACTTCTGGTAACTCTTATAATAATGTAATGTAGGTATATTTGGGAAAATACAGTCCAAGTATGACCACAGCTTTTGCATCTGTGTGATCAAGTGTGGTCACTCACAGTGGAAAAGCAGTCAAGACCTGTTGTATGACACCAGTCAGTGAAAGTCAAGCTTCATTCTTTGTACACAGTTTACTTCACAGGGCCGTGGGTGAACATCCTAGCAAATTTACCTTCTCCAGCTTCTCTGGAGACCTTCCAACTGAGGTAGGAAGGGCTGCTCTAACTTACAAAAATTGGTTTTCCTGCTGCCTGGCAGTTTATTTTGAAGCCTTTCCTAAGGAGAGCTGGGATGGGTCCATCACAAACAGCTGCTGCAGCGGAAGAGGACAGACTTAGCTCCTCTTGCTACTGTGTTCACTGCTGCCACAAGCGCAGGGGCTGATCTGGCTGCAGCCAGCGGGGTCATCTTCTCTTCAGAAGGAACAAACCACGAGGCAGAAATCAGAGAAAACAGAAGTAATGACTGAGCAATTTGTTGTGCCAGAAGAACCTGGAGCTGAGCTCCGTCACCATTGATGCTTTCACCAAATATCCTTGGAGCCTCCGACTGAAGATGTGTAAACATAGATCTTGTGAAATGTAGCATTTTTATGTTCTTCAGGAAGAGATAGTGTTGAAATTAAGAAATAGGAATTAGTGAAAGAAGGATAATTTAATCTGCCCATCATCTGGAAATGCACCATCAGTTAAATATTACTAATATTTCAGATTGTTGTCTGGGTTGAAAGACTATCATTTATGGGTTGTCATTTGTATGCTAAAAGAGTGTTTGAAGAAAATAAGACTACATATGGTAAAATAATAAGGAGGAAGGCTGGTCTTACAGGCTCTATCCTTACCTAATAGTGTTTAGGTCTGAAAAATACTGAAAATAGTATTAAAAAAAAACCCGAATCCCACCCTTTTTCTGAATTCTGTGGTCTGTGATCCTGGATCCTCAGGTGATGCAAAGGACACCGTGGAACTGGACACAGGTGTTCCTAGGATGTGGTAAGGTCCTAAAATCCTATCTGTACTGCCTGAAATTAATGCTCCCTGAGAGGGAGAGATTGTACAGCATCACACAGCTTTGTCCCAGTTAGGATCAAAAGCACTTTCATTATGGATACTTCTTCCCTTAGATAGGTAGCAGGGCATGACATACTGCCTGGAACAAATATTCTGCCCTGGACAGTCACAGTAAATGCATAGTCTATGTATTTTTAACCAACTGAAAGATGCTGAAGAATGGCCTAAGGATGGTGTTGCATTCAAGGTAATGAATTATTTTGGTTAGAGATGAATCCCCTTGTCTTCTAGCCAGTCCTCAAGGATTTGAGGGGCTAGGGGCAGCTGAACTTATCTCTTAATAGGTAGGCCAATTATTGCCAGAGAGGCCCATCCTGGACACCCCACTCTGATATTCGAGATACCCTTTGGCTAAATTAAGACGACTTAACACCAAACAATCGATTGAAAAATTTATTAACGACAGAAGCCAATTAAAACTTCTTAAAGCTAATTAAATCCTGTTAAAGCTCTGTAAACAGTTTCCAACAGTGGCTATTGAGCTCTATTATTTTAAAAAGGGCTGAACGGCCTGTAACGTAAAAGAAAAGGGGAGAAAGGTAGAAAAATAGAAGTAGAGGCGCGATGCGGGCGGGCGCCCCGGGTTTTGGCGAGGCCTCTGGTCCCGGCCCCGCTCTGCCGGCGGTGCTGGGGGGTGCGCATCGGGGTTCGGCCCGCGGGCCCCCCCACACACTGACCCACCTCCCTGCGAGGTGAGAGGGGGCAGAGCCTCCCGTGCTCGCTCACCCGCCAGGCGAGGGATAGGGCGGGTGTTCCCGGGCCCCTTGGGGGGCGTTTGGGGGCCGCTCCCCGCCTCTCCACCGCGCCGGCCGCGCCCGGGGAGCACTCACGTCTGGAGTCACCAGATTTACACACCTCTGTTTACTTCTGTGAGGCTGGGTTTTTGTTAGAGCTGTTTTAAGCCAGGTCCATGTGGTTGGTACAGCTCTGACTCCAGTGGAGACCACGACACGCTCCTGCCTATCAGTTGCTGCTCACTTTCTGCAGGGTAGAGAGGAGCCTGAAAGTTCCTGTTTTGTCATATAGTTGAATTTTTGTTGATATCCTGAAATATTATTATGAATCTCTACAAATAGGAGAGTCACTTACCGAAACCATTTCACCTGTAGTTGATACCCTGTTAATAGGCCTCTTAATCCTCTCCTGTATGAGTGTATTACAGGTACAAGCATGTGGCAGGCAAAATGTAGTTCCTGGGGTGGGGACACAGATTATGGGGAGAACAGTGTGCATGAGTGTGTGTGGGGCAAAGTGGGCAAAAGAGCTGCACTGCAGCTCAAGGAGGTGTGTACTGAAGTTAAATTCAGCTGGTAACTGAAAGGCTTGTTTGACAAGGCAGCTCGGGACGCGTTCCTTGCTTCGGGACTAATCACTGCAGAGAGTTTAGCAACGTTTGTGGCCATATCCTATGAGGTACCTATTTACAAAACTGTATAAACAGAGAATGTATGGGGCAGGATTACAGGGACCATCGCTCCTTCATTAGCACTAACACAGCACGTGTTCCCCATCCATTTGGGAAGGAGTGGCCATGATCCTCTGTGGCCTTGTTCATCCCCACTTTGTGGTCACACACCCAGTCCTGACCCCCTGGCAGAGCTTTGGGACAAATAGTCTCACAGAGCAACTGCTGGGAGAATCCAGGACCAACACCATAATCTGGATTTAGATCAGATCCTGGTCTAGTGATGTCCATGCAGTTACTTCGGACTTAATTCTGAAGGAGGAGAATTTCCAGGAGATGTGTGGTTGTGCTGCTAGCTTCAAACTGGAGGACACACAGAGCAATCTCTCGGACAGAGGTATCTCGTGTAAACACGTGGGAACCTGGAAAGGGTGTATGGAGGGTAGAGAGACGAGGAAAAGAGACAGAAGTGGCAACAAATACTGATTTATTAACAGCTGATTTACTAACCTCATTGTGCTTTTCAGTTTGCCAAGCAGGAACACATTTCTATCTTTATGCTTTCACATACAAATCTATTATTGAACAATTAATAGTTTAAAAGAGTGCCATATTAAAAATATTACACTTGTATAAAGTCTTCAAGATAACAAATCTGTTGTGTTTTGGATGTCAGAGTATGGTAGTCAGCAACTCTGCAACTGCTGCAGCTATGAATGTATGCAGTTGAAAAAATTACTGTTTTTTATTACTGTAACAGAAGAGTAGACTTATTTTAGCAGGCATACTTTTGTTTCTAATTTTCATTAGCCTGGAAAAATTATCATCAGTGTAGTAGGATTTCATGCTGTTTATTAAATGTAAATAAATTATCATGGATACAGAAAAAATCTTTTCCTCCTCCCAAACAATGCTAAAATGATGAGCAAATCTGAAATGTAAGGTAAATAAGGCCTTAACATGCAAAAACACAAACAAGGCTTCAACGTTCTGCTTCTCAGAGAATTATATTAAGGGCATTTTCTCCTCCTTGTCACAGGCAGTCCTCTATTTCTGTTGTCTTTAACCAGTGAGTCAGATTATTGAAGCCCTTCCATATGCAAGCAAATGTTTACACTTGTTGTTAATTTAAAAAGCACTTCAAACTGCTCCAAGATCCCACAGAAAAGATGAGGTTTCAAGATCCACATGTCTTCAGAGTTCAATGCATTGGAAATAAATCCTCTACCTGATGGGTGCATATCCCCTGAAACAGCTGTATGTATTTAGTTTACAGAAAAAACTTTGATTGACCCAAGTTATGGACACAATTACAAGGTAGGTAGGAGGGACCAATTCAGATAAACTACCAAATATATCATCCTCTTTGATGACCTGGTCAAGAAATGGTGTTTCAACTCTTTCAACAGCTACAGAATCAACAATACCATGACTAGAATCAATGCCAAAATGGAAAATATGTCCAGGTCCTAATCGATTTAGCTCTTGCTTTGAAGAAGGCTAACAAATAATTTTGAAAATGTGATCCAGTGCTGAAGAACTGAGGCCGCATCACACCCCGGGTAGCCCAAAATTCACAGCTCTGCTGCCCACTGGTTAAAACAGATCCGCACCTACAACGACAGTCAGAAAGAATTGGCAGGATCCTAAGGCAGGGACAGGCATGATTTTGTTCCCCTTTCTTTGGGAAATACAATGTAAAAGGAGTTGTTCATAGCACAGAAAATAGAACTCTTGGAAGTGACTACGGGATTTAAACACCTGTGATAGCCTCAGAGGACTGCAGGTTTACACAGATTTACAGAGTCCCTTTGTAGGGCTGGAGACGCAGCCCTGGGGTAGCTATCACATAGTCATTTCCAAAACCTGAGCAGCAGCATCCCCCACTGTCCCTTTCTGGTAACCCAGATTTAGAGGCAAAACATGCTCCCTCGGGCAGAGCTGCTGAGCTGCCCAGGACATGCATCCCTCTTTTTGCAAAACACCACACTGAGCGGTCTCATTGGATCCCTTTGCACTGAGCCAGCCTGGACTGCTTTGCTCTCTAGCAGGCAGTGCAGAGAAAAAATACAAAGGCACCAGGCTAGACCCCTTCTGCACAGCACCTAGATGGTTTTGTCTTTTTTTTTTTTTTTTTTTTTTAATCTTTTATTTTTCCTTCTCTCTCTCAATTATCTCAGGGGAAATATAACCCTTTCTAAGAAGTGCCAATATCTCCATGTCTAAAGCTACTTGGAAGAAATCATTGCTGTGTATTTGGGATTCAGATAATACAAGCCAGCATAAGGAGCGCCAACTGACACGAACAAAAAAAGGGGGCTTTGCCTCTTTGGTAAGGGAGCAGGTCAAAGAGCTAAAAAATGTGATTCTTGCAACCTTGTCAGGGTGCCCACTTACCTTTGTGCAAGCAGAGCTTCAACGAGTGCAGCATTAAGTCTGCAAAATTTGGAGTGGTATTTTTCTCCCGACACACATTTTCTCCCAAATGCAGGTGCATGTTTCCTATCTGGGGCCATTCTTGTGCATCACAGAAACATTCATATACTTAGTGTTCAGTGTGTTGAAAGGTGAGGAGCAGAGTTTGCTACAGACCTGGGCTTCTTGTTTTCAGCTTTCTTGGATCTGTTCAGTTGCAGACCCCTTAAAACTCTTTTTTTTTTTTTTCCCTCTTTCTCCTTTTATTGTCTGTTTGGCTTTCACTCCTCTCTTCACAGGTCTGTTTTCTCTTTCTGTTTGTTTTATGTTTCCCTGGGGAGTGCCTGCAAGCCTCTCCATGCAATAGAAATATTAGTTAGGTAAAGCCCTGATAAACTTGAATCAATTCTTCTTTTAATCAAAGCTAACTCATACTCCCTTCTTCCCTCTAACAAGCTCTCCAGTTGTTCAAAGCATAGAAGCAAATCTACCATGCTTTCTGGAGTGACTGCAGCCAAAGCTACAGGCACCTAAAATGAAAATGTAAAAGTTTACAGGTGGCAAGGGACCACCTGGAGTAGTAAGCTAATGTTTGCTAAATTTCTACCTTGGTCTTAAAAGCAAAGCACATGTATTGGTTCACATCATCCATTTTTCACACAGTCACCGGCTGCAAAATAGACTCTGTGAAGCTCCGATGCACTAGGATCTCAGCTAAATTTTTCTGAAGGAGACAGCTACTGACACAACAGCTCAGCTGAGCAATTTCTAAGGGCATCATTGCACAAAGTGCAATGGCAAACCTGCACCAGGCTTACTCTGAACTTTTGGAGAGCTGCAGACTGATGGGTGACCTTGCTTGCCCTTTCAGAGGATTTTAGTCCTCAGACAGAATGAAGTCCTTTCTTAAAAGACCTTCTCTGAAGAGAATCACCTGTTTCTCGCTTCTGAACACAATTTTCACAAGGCAGTGCAACACTCAGTTAATTGGAGGAGTCTATTCAGCCTGGAGCATGAGCTCTGATTAATGCTGGGAAAGGAGAGCAAGGAAAGGCTTGCTAACTTCTTTCTGCCAGGATTTCTTCTGCTCTCCTGAGAAATATTTCTGTGGATATCCCTTTGGCAGTGGTACCATCTTCTGGGCTGGGAGGCTCTTCTTTTGAAAGCTGTCTTTTCCTGTGTGATATCTCGTAGGTATTTCATCTGATTCAGAACACGCCTAATGCACTTGAAAAACAATCTTTCCATTTTACCTTATGATATATCATTCTGGGGGAAAAAAAAAAAAAGCCTAAAACACACAAGAGACCTCATGCCAGGAAGAGGCATTTTTGGACCCTGTTTCTGCTGGATCCTGTGACCACAGTGGAGAGAGTAATGTCTCAGCATAGGAATTTCTAGCTGAGAAAAGAAAATCCATTGCTTATGCAGAAGCGAGCACTGGCCTGATTTTCGCAGACACAGTAGTCACTGGGGCATATTTCTTTTCTATTATTGGTGAGGAGAAGACCCTATACGTTTCAGCCCCAGCTTTACATCAGAAACTACACTCACACATGAGACAGGTTGTTACACTGTTTGTGGACCTGACATACCTCTGCTGTTCCCTTTTCCACCACCGTATCTCCTCCTGCTCCATGAAGAAGTGAGAGTGGTACAACCTGAAGTGCTTCAGCTCGATGCTCCCTATTTGCTTCTCCTGCATGGCCACCTTGCTCTTTCAAATGCAGCTCCAGAAAGCAAAGCCGGTGCAGCAAAGTGACTTCTTGGAAGTGAAAAACAACTGAAGCAAAACACATCCGAAGTCCTAAATCTGTTTTCTTCACAGCCCTCGGATGTCACATCGTCTGCTATGTCTGCTGCGCTGAATGGAGAGGATCTGCAAAAGGACATCTCAGCCAGCAAGCTTCAGAAGCCAGAGCCAAGGCCCTCAGGCTCCAGCTCATCCTGAGGAGTAAACTGTTGCTGCCCTCGGAGGCAGTGGCCAAACTGAGACCACGGGACAAGCAGGGCTGAAGGAATAACACTCTATGTCCAGCCTCATCAGGAATTGTGTTAAGGTAAGAGCATTGCTCTCAAAGCATCTGTTTGATGTGAAGGGCAGATGCAGAACAAAGGTCATGATGTTAGCTTCGTGAATCCTGTCACTCTGAACGTGTGAGAAGGCTCCCACTAGAAAAACACCTCTGTCAAGTCTCGAGCCCTCAGCAACTCTCTCTATTTGCACTGGTGCCCACCAAGAACACACTAAGAAATAGGACCAGAAGCCCCAGACTGCGACAGTCCTCAGTCCATTCTCATACCTGTGGAGCTGGTGATGGGTGCTGGTGACTCCTTGACTGAGAGGACCATCTGCCTTCTCCCCAAAGATTTCCCTGCATCTCTCAATTAAAAACTCCACCAGCCCCTTCACCTGCACACATCAAACCATCGGCTTTAACTCAGGTGGCTGAAAAGAGACCAAACAGCCTTTCCCTTTCCTGACCCTTGCTTTTGTGCAGAAAGCTGCAGCTGTGGGGCTGCTCTTCCAGGAAGCTACTCCACAGTCATTCTCTCAAGAGAGGAGACAGTAAGGTATCTCTGAACAGAAAAGCTCTAATGGGCCTAGAAGGATGTAATCGGCTGGTAAATACAGCACACATTCTCAGGCACCTCCACCAGCATTTCCAAAGGGAGCAGGCTGTCCTTGTCTGGGCTCGGCAGATTTGGCCCAGTGCAGATGGCAGCACTGCTGGTAGTCATCCTGCTGGTTGCAGAATTTTGGCTGGCGTTGTGGAGCAGGGAGAGCAACTGCTTGAGAAGATGTTGGCTCCAGGCAACTCGTCGTCCACCCTGAGGGAATAGGAACATGACGTTAATAAATTAGATGTTGTCAACACATACTGCCCGAGCTCTCCTAAGGCAGGTGGAAGCCAGAAGCAGTGTTGTGTAGCTTTCCAGGTGTCCTCATTCAGCTTTCCATGCTCCTGCACTTCAGGAAGGCAGCACAGCATTGTGCAGTATACCACACCAGGTATACAGCAGAGGGATGGCCTTCGCTGAGGTACTGCCACCTCCCCTTCTGGTAAGAGTCATTTCGTGGAGCAATCTGCAGTGCTCCACGAAGCGCTCCAACTAGAGAAATGCTTCCTTGTGCCACTCTCCCCAGAATTCACCTCCAGGATGGCAGCCAGCAGGCGCGCAGGTTGGCTTCCCAGGTGGACAACCCCACTGCTGTCAAAGCCCACCCTCAGCTCCTGACAGGCTCTCCTTCTGGCCATAAGCCTGAATACCCCCTTGGTGTACGGTCCATGCTCCTGCAGGATAGCCAGCAGGTCCTGCAGGGGACACGGGAGGACAGCTGCTTGGCTGAAGATAGGCCCTGAAGCAGATGAACCTTCCTCGGTCACAAGAGCATGTGTGGACCACTCTGCTTTCACTGGGGCAGGATCGAGGGGTGGCTGCAGTTAGGTGACAGGAGATGTGAGGAGGAGCCCGCTTTGGCCCTGACTAGTGTTGGACTGGTGAACCCATGGTCCCTCTGCTGGGGACACCACCTCTCAGGAGAGGCCAGGGGATGGGACCCCCCCACCAGGTTTTCTTACCTGGAGGGGCTGGGGCAGAGTGCTCTCCTTCCTGCAGAGACCTTCCAGGGGCTGACCAAAGAGAGCCCCTCTGCAGCTGGACCCCAACTGCCCAGGCACTTCTGAGGCATCCAGGGTCCTCAACAGCACAAAGGGACAGGACAGTTGTCTTCTCCTCCTCCTGGTTCCACCTTCTGCAAAGGAAAACAGAGTAAAAATCCATGGATGACAACCACCAGGCGAGCCCTCTCAGACCCTCTCAGTGCTGTCCCTCCACTGCTGAGTGCAAAGGAGAGACATCGGTCCCCTGAGGATTCTGCTCTCTCCTGCTGAAGAGCGATGAAGACATGTGCCCAGGGGGAAGGGCAGCAGCAACCCCAGTGCAGCAGAAGTGCCTGCCTGCAAGAGGGGGAAAGGCCCTTCCTACCTGTCTTCTCAAAACTCACCTGTTGAGTGGCCAACTCTACCATCATTGCCAGATGGGACCAGTGGAGGCTTGGGACCAGCCTGCAAGAAACATGCTGAGCTAACTGAGCAGCCCTGCAGCAGAAAGGGCTACCAGCAAGCTGCATCAGCCATCTGGCAAGCTGTGAGAGGTAGGGATGACTGAGACTGGCAACCACAATGTGCCTGGAAACTTGGGATGTGCCAAGCGGGACACGACTCCCCAGCATGTCCATGTCTCTCTTGTACTGAGGCTTAACTATTGCCTAGCTTGATCCTGTTGTACCTGATCTAACTTGATCCTCTATCACTAAGAACACATCTTCTTTGCTCCAGACTTCCCTCTGGTCTCCAGGGAGTGGGACGTCTGAAGGCTGGTCTTGTGAGGATCATCGTTCCCCAAGATGACTGGCAGCATCTCGATCAGCCTGAAGTACTGGCATAGCCTCGTGAAAGCCAAGAGAGTTCTAAGTCAGAGCAAAGTAAGTTCACAAATATACGATGCGTTCTTGTGGCAATGAGGAACTGGGCATTGCAGCTGTTTGATGACATTGAATGTCATGGAAGTTTTAGAAATATAGGGGAAAAATCCTTTTTTTTTTTTTTTTTTTTTTTTTTTTTATTGTATACACAGCCCTTCCCTACAAGCTAATAAAAGGCATTCAGTCTAATTTTTCATTTGATTGTCACACCTCTCCATACTGCTGATGTTATATGTAACATCAGATCAGATGTTATGGTCACATAGATTATTAGATAGTAGATAGCACAGATTATCAGAGAGTATATAGCAGTTTATCTCCATTAATTTTGCTAATATCAGTGAAAGGAGTTTACATTTAGCACCTCAGCCAAAGGATAAAGATCAAATCTATCTATTGAACTCAGTGGGCTATTCATCAGCAGATTTAATTTACCGTGTTAAAAAAAGAAGTTACATGAGAAAGGCATATTCTATCTTGTCTACTACAATGCACGATTTAGGAGCTGAAAAAAGTAAATAACTCAACCCCTCCCCCACCCCCAAAAAATTAGAGAAAAAAAAATTCTAGAGCAATGGGGCTTTTATTTGCCAAATAAATTGCACTATATTATTCCCATTCAATAAGCCACTTTTTCTGACATTCTGCCTCTAGCCAGTACCAATATGGGGCTCTTCCAGGAAAAAATTAAACAAACCAAAAACTTGTTGTACAGCCAGTTTCCCATGCTGTGCTATGGAAGATGTAGAAATCCTCCCTAATCCAGATTTTTTCACTTACATCCAAAAACATCCAATGTTTTTTTACCTGACAATCTACAGGAGCTTATCTTCTGCACAGAAAAACCTGTGACAGCAGACTTAGTGGCTGGCAACTCTGCTTCAAAGTCAAGAAAGGCTGTGATTAATATTCCCTGTGCAGCCTTCATGAAGCTTCTTTTTGTGCACTTTTTATGGCATTCTCTCTCATTATATGCTCATATACAGCTCTTTTCACAGGGCACGAGTACACTCTGTGCCTCAGATGATCAGTGATCACTGACAGAGGAATTACTTCATGTTCTGTGCTTTCTTCATTGCTCAGCGTGCATCACACATTTATTGCATCACACCAAACCAGAAAGCATCTTCACTGCCTATCCTAGTCTGCTCTCCTCTGCACCAGATTTCTTATCTCATCCATCCTTGGACCCACCATTTAGCCTTCTCATCCTAGTCTCAGTTTTCTCAGCCAGGCTCAGCCTTATCTGGTCTCCAACTCCCATATGCCCATTCCAGGTTGATAGACATTGCTGCTGCTTCTGCAGATGGAACCTTTGTTAATGTAGCCACGCTAGCTTTAAACTAAATAACATAGGTAGCATTAAGAGTGAAACCAGCACTGACAACCTGCTAAGGCACTGAGTAAACCCTTAGTAGCCACCTTGGGCTAAACCCCATGTCACCACAGGGTTCAATGCTGATATGGCACTGCACTGTCTGCAGGCTGCTTCTCCCATTTCCAGTGCCAACTGCTCCAGTCTCACTCTCCACATTTATTTTCTCTTTCAGGGATCAAATCAGCTTCAGTCTCCTCTGCATACAGATCTGGGATTTCTTTTTCCTCAGTGTTGTCTGGATGGAAGATCCTGAGACATCCTTTTCTAGACAGCAGCAGAAATGGTAATAATATTGCTTTTCATCTCTCTGTCTCCAAAACAGCTCTGATTCCCCTTTATAGCAGGGTTTCCATTTTGACCCAAGAGCAGAAATGTTGACCTGTTCAGTCTAGGTAATATTCACACATGCTGAGCCCCAGGCTCTAGCTAAAAGTCAAAACCCAAGCTGTTGTATGACTTTGCCTTGGCAATGTGTAAGACGCCAATGCAGAAAGCAGATGCTTGCAAGAGCCCACCCATCAGAGGAGAAGACCTCTATCTCAGACTGATTCCAAACCCACAGCTCTGAGTGTTGCCCAGCTAATAAACATGTGCAGGGGCCTTCTGCAAAAATGCAGTGCAAGTGGAAAAGCCTGGTGCAAATGAACACACAATAATCAACATCACTGCAGTAAATGCTTATATTAAGGATGACATAAGCTCATTTTACGTTTGCTTGCCCAGGATTTAATGTCAAAAAAAAACCCAAAAGCAAAATGCAACATTTTCTTCAGCTTTTTCAGAAAGTTTAATTTCAGTCTCCAGCTTTTATTACTTTGCAATTAGTCATGCGTGTTGCTTTCATAAAACTATAGGGAGAAAAACTCCCTAACTAATCCCTAATTTAGTCCCTGAGAAGGAATTTGGCAACCACCTCAGATGATTAAACTGTGATTAAGTAGCTGCCTAAAACTGAGAAGCAAAATGATGCTCTGCAGCCTCTGAAGTTTTCTGGTAAAGAGCTGAGACTTGTGTTATCCCTGGTACCCAGGGAGAAAATCAATCTGCTGTGGTGGTGCACAGTGGAAATAAGACTCCGCACTTCCCTTATCTTCCTATCTTGCAAATGCGAAGTATGTCTGGCTCCTTGTTTTATTGCTTTCACTCTCACCCTGGTAAAGAGCCCTCAGGCCTTATGCCTCCTCCCTGCCATGTGTAACTGCGCAGCTGGGGCCAACACAGTTCAGGGGAAGCTCCCTCCCTGGCGGCTGCCCCAGCCTAGTCTCAGCAGAAGACTTGAAAAGTTTCCATCAATCTGTTTATCAGATTTGGGATTCAATTAGCACTTTCATTTGAAGTATCTGCTTCACTCAAAACTAGGGTTTGTTTGTTTACGTTTTTTCTTGTGGTTAGAAAAGTTTTTTGGCAGGTTTCAGCCAAGCTTTGGGGGGAAATTTTTCAGAAGCTTCTAGCCAGATATACATACATATGTCTAAACCTGCTGTCTGGATGTTTTTTTCAGGAGGAAACCAATAATGATTTCTGCATTCAGCAAGACACTGTGTGGGTTAAGAGTATGGGGCTTTCCCATCAATTTTTATTCCCACAAAATGTATTTTTCTCCACCTCTAATATGCAAGTCGATATGTTGTTAACTGTACTGAGACTGCTGTTGTTCGCTCTGATTTGTGCTTGACCTGATTTAGGCAGCTGGGCCTCCTGGTTTTCCCCTGTCAAACCCACCAGGACTCCATCAGAGACTGTTGGCTCGGGTTCCAGCTGCACGGATGAGGCGATGAGTGAGATAAGAAACTTATTCACAAGGGAAATGCAGGTTCTACCTAAAGACTAACCTACCCATACCTAATGAATTACATGATACAAAAGCTCCTTTGCCTCATGAAACCAAGTTTCTTCCTTTCCAAATTTTGTGGGTCCAGCTGACAAAACGAACCCCCACCAGACACAAAAAGAGGAGAAACGTAACTCAAGCCAGCTGTGTGCATGAAGTCATGATGTCCTGGGGAGCCTGGGAGCTATCTGCAAGGACATTTTTAGTTATGAAATAGTTAGTATTGATGTTTCATCAGCTCTGTGGTACATATTAGGAAGTTTTATCTTACTACCGAAAGTGTATTAAATGCTGTGATGTAATAGTTATTAAACAATTGCATGATGTGAGAGATTTTTTGTGAGGGGTGGATTCTGTGTATTGTGTATTGTGTCTCAGTGTTTTGTCACTGTTATATTTTTATTTTGGTGTGGGGAAGTTTTTTTTTCCCTGTTTCAGTTGGGTTTTGTCTTGTTCTGATGTTGATGTGTATATTATCTTCTGTAGTGAATGTGGATCTCATGATAGGTCTTAAATATGTGATTTGCAGAGGTGACGGGTAGAATGTCCTGGGTTTGAGTGAATGGTGGGTTTTTTTGGTAGCAGGGGAGGGGGCTATAGGGGCAGCCCCCTGTGAGAAGCTTCTCGAAGCTCCCCCAGCTCCACATCAGCTCCACTTCTGTTTGGAAAACTGAGCCCATCAGCTGCGCCTCTGCGATAACGTATTTAAGAAGGGACGTGGTGACGGGCAGTGGGACTGGTGAGGAGGAGTTGCTGCAGCTGCATGAACACCAAGGTCAGTGGAGGAACGGAGGAAGAAAGGAGGGGGGAGGTGTGCCGGAGCAGAGACCCTCCTGTATCCTGTGGGGAGACGGCAGGGCGGCCCCCCCTGCCACCCATGGAGATCTACGGTGGAGCAGACATTGATTTATGCCTGTGTTTCTCATGGTTGATCAAGGTGCTGTGCCCGAAGAAGGCCGGGGTCTTGTGGGAAAAGGCAGCCCCGCTGCTGTAATTCAGCACTGGGAGGATTGCAGCATGCGGGGGTGTCCCACGCCGGAGCAGCTCGGGAAGGGCTGC